CTGGCTGACTCCTGCTCAGCCTTCCAGCTTCAGATTCAATGTCAGTGTGAGACTGAATAAAACCTAGTGGAAATGGATGCTATTCAATGGCTACTGCTGGTGGGAAGACCAGGGCTCCGTTCCCCTTTGCACAGAAGTGACCGGGCGTTTCAAAGGGACAGAGTGAGCCTGGGCCCAGGAGGGTCAGAGAAGTGAAAAGTGGCCAAGGTTGGGGCAGTGCACCTGCGATGGGGCCTCTGCACTGCCAGCTGGCAGCCAGGGAAGTGGGGCTCTATCCTGCCTTGAGCCTGGGAGACACAGGCCCCACCTCCCAACGTTTACATTTCAGAGGCAGGGCTCCAAGGCCCCTGAGAAAGACACAGCTGAGCTGTAGGAGGTACATATACATCTCAAAGGGCCCGAGGAAGGATTTACAATTGTAAACCCTTTTTATGTTATTTTAAATATATATATTTCTTTATTGATTTCAGAGAGGAAGGGAGAGGGAGAGATCAAAACATCAATGATGAGAGAGAATCTTTGATCGGCTGCCTCTTGCACGTCCCCTACTGGGGATCGAGCCCACAACCTGGGCATGTGCCCTTGGCCGGAATTGAATCTAGGACCCTTCAGTCTGCAGGCCGATGCTCTATCCACTGAGCAAAACAGGCCAGGGTGTAAACCCTTTTTAGTAAAAGCCCCGGGGAAGGGATGTGGGGGAGGGGGGAGATGGGGTGCTATGAGAACAAAGGGTTCCTCTCTGGCAGCCTAGAGGGTTGGGGTCGCCCACAGGACACAGCCTTAGGCTGCTTGAAGCCCTGCTAGTTTGGTGGCCTCCCCGTGCAGGGGTTTGGACGAAGTCCTTAGTTTTCACCGGGCCCCTTTTCCCAACCCCTCGCGCTGAGCTGGGCTCTGCAGGCGTTGGGTACTTCCTGGCGTGACTGGTCACATTTGTGTAATCACTTGTTTTACTTATCTCTTCTGACAGAAAACTGTTGTGGCCAGGGGCTGTGTTTGTCCTGTGCTGTTGTGTGACCAGTGCCAGGCCAGGGGGGGTAAATAGTTAACAACCACTGAATGAATGAGTGAGTGAATGAATGAATGAATGAATGAGTCACAAGTAGGAGCGTCTAGGTTCTAGGACAAGGATGATTTAAGCAGGATGGCTGGGGGAGGGGAGGGAAAGTGCTGACCACATGGCCTGGGAGCCTGCTACACTCTCCCTGGAACCGGAGGACAGGACCCATGCTGTCCCAGGTGATGCACAGGTGATGGTTTGAGGGACGTGGAGCTGCAGGTGGTTATGCTCTGCCTGAACTCACACATCACGGGCTGGGCTGCTCCATGCCTGGGAGTCGAGTGGAGACCAGACACCACGGAGGCTGGAATTCCAGGCCCTCCTCCACGGAGAGCAGATCTTTGGAAAAGTGAAAAACGCTGATGGTGCCCCGTCCCCTCCCGCTGGAGGTGGTGGGCAAGGACCGGTGAAGGACATCCCCTCCTTGCCGTCCCTGGGATTGTGCAGGGAAAGCCGGTCCAAGTAATTAATGGAAGTCATTGGGGGTCAGATGGTCACGAGTGGAAATCACTCAGCAGTCACAGATGCCAAGGCTGGCCGTGCCAAGGAGAGGACACGGGGTGGGCAGAGGACTAAGAAAGGCAAGGGGGCTGCCGCACTGCCCAGCAGGACAGAGCGCTGATGGAGCTTGCTCTCGGGGCTCTCAGATGAAAGGCAGGCTATGAAGTCTGGGGGTTTGCATCCCTAATCAGCAGCCCACACTGGGGCCGAGGGGAGGCTTCTGAGCCACAACAAAATTGGGCAACTGCTGAGGAGGACACACCAGAAGTGGTTCCTGGCATCGCAGCCCTGGGCTCAGAACTGTGCCCTTGCAAGTGAAGAGGCATTTTCCTTTAATGCATTCCCTGCATCTTGTAAATCCTTCCCTGCTTGTATCTTCTCACTTTACGTGTGGCTTTCAAGTCCTTGGAAAGGGTAAATTTTCCATCTACCCATCCATCCATCCACCCACTCACCTGCTCATGTACCCACCATTTATCCATCCATCCATTCACCTACTTACCCATCCATCCACCCACTCACCTACTCACTCATCAATCCACCCACCCACCATCCATGAGCCTATCCGTCCATCCATCCATCCATCCATCCATCCACCCACCCTCTTCATTTATCCACTTCACAATATTATTTTTTTAAAGAGGTGAAGCTTATATTTACTGAGACCCGGGTCTGTACTACTAATAATAAAGGACTCTCTGCTTTTGCATCGGACTTGGCTGGCTCCCTGTTGGTCTGTGGGGATCTTGAAATCTGGGCATAACAATCGCAGCCCTGGGCTCAGAACTGTGCCCCTCCAAGTGAAGAGGCATTTTCCTTTAATGCATTCCCTGTATCTTGTAAATCCTTTCCTGCTTGTATCTTCTCACTTTATGTGTGGCTTTCAAGTCCTTGGAAAGGGTAAAAATTTTCCATCTACCCATCCATCCATCTATCCATCCACCCACTCACCTGCTCATGTACCCACCATTTATCCATCCATTCACCTACCTACCCATCCATCCACCCACTCACCTACTCACTCATCAATCCACCCACCCACCATCCATGAGCCCATCCATCCATCCATCCATCCATCCACCCACCTTCTTCATTTATCCACTTCACAATATTATTTTTTTTAAGAGGTGAAGCTTATATTTACTGAGAGACTTCACAATATTTATCAGACTCCGGCCAAGCCCACACCAGGTCTAGGCTCTGGGAATACAGGATAAACATGACAAGCATGGGCCTCACTCTCGTAGCGTGCAATCTACAGAGGGGGAGACATACACAAGCAAGCCAGCGACACCCAGGAAGCCAACACAGCCCTGAGTGCTGTAAAGAGAATGAAACAGGTGACGATGCATTAGAGGGTGGCAGGTGAGGGTCTCTTTCGCTGGGATGGGCAGGGCAGACCTCTGAGAAGGTGACCTTTGAGCTGAGACCTGACTGACAAGAAGCAGCAACGATCTAGGGGAAGAGCATTCCCGGTGGAGGGGACAGCAGGTCAGGGCCCTGCATGGGAAACTGAAGCAGTGCCCAGGGGCTGAGGGGCGTGAGTACTGGGGACAGGCACAGGAGCAGGACCACTCACGGCACATCACACAGCCCAAGGGCTGGCCAGGTGAGCAGCACGCCCAGCTCCACTGCCCTCCGAATGTACAGAAAGGGAATCCTCTGGTGTCTTCTGGAGTGTTTTATTACTCTGCTATTTTTAAAAAATATATTTTTATTGATTTCAGAGAGGAAGGGAGAGGAAGAGAGAGATAGAAACATCAATGATGAGAGAGAATCATTGATCAGCTGCCTCCTGCATGTCCACAACTGGGGATCGAGCCTGCAACCCGGGCATGTGCCCTGACTGGGAATTAAACTGTGACCTCCTGGTTCAAAGGTTGACGTTCAACCACTGAGCCACACCGGCTGGGCATTCTGCTAGTTTAATACTCCAGTGACCCCACTCCCAAACACCGTGAGAGCCATTTCAGCGGTTGTGGGTCCACCGCAGCACGCCGGCCTGCATGGACCTCAGCCTGGACTCCGCCTTGCCGCCTCCTTCCCTTGACCTTCCTTCCGTAGGGAGGGAGGCCATGTGGTGTGACCCTCTGTGGAAGGGGAAGTTTATGTGCTCTGTTCATGCGATAATGGGGGTTGTAACAAGTGAGTGTTGTGACAGTTAAGGGCTCCTGTCTGCCAGGCCTGGTCAAGGGATGGTATTCAGCAATGGTGGCCCACTGGCCCTCACTTCATGGTGCGTCCTGTCCAGAGGGTATCTCTGGGGACAAAGGATTCCATGGGGATTCAGGGGATGGAGGAGACGTCATGGTTCCAGCTTAGAGCTCCACAGTGAGCATGTCCCACCCCTGTGTTTGTCATCCTCCCAGGCAGCTCAGAAGGGTGTGTGGAGCCCACGGCTCCCCCCAGTCTCAGCAGAATTCTGCAGCCTCCCCATCAATGAAGAAGGACCAGAACTACTGAATGGCTTCTATGCCCTCTTCCTTTCCTGTTCCCCCTGAACCTCATCGGTGTGGAAGCTGGCTGGTTGCCATGGCTGCAGCAGGTGGCAGCCCTGCCCCAGGGGCTGTTAGTGTTTGTTACCAAGCATAATCTGCACATCCAGACTGATACACAATATGAACTACCTACAAAGTCAAGTTGCTGCCATGATTTTATTGCATCCTGGCGGGTGAGTGAGGCTGAAAGGAAGGTCACCCTGCAAGGTCACCTCCAGGAATGGCAGCTTGGGCAGGGCAGGGATGGTTTGGGAAGGGCAGGCCAAGAGCCCCAGCAGGGTGGGTGCAGGCCACACTGTCCAGGGTCAGGGTGAACCCCGGCAGACACAATGGATGCTTGGTGGGTGCCAGTTCAAACTGACTTAAAGCCCAAGAGAGACTCCATCCCCAGAAATACAGGCCCCTCTGAACAGTACCAGTCTGAACTATACGGGTCCACAAATATGCGGATTTTTTTCAATAAATATATAGTCAGCCCTCTGTATCCCCAGGTTTTGCATCTGTGGATTCAACCCACCACAAAACTGGACCAAACTGGCTCAGTGGTTGAGCGCTGACCTATGAACAAGGAGGCCACCAATCATTTCCCAGTCAGGGTATATCCCCAGGTTGTGGGGGATGGAAAGATGATAGATAGATAGATAGATAGATAGATAGATAGATAGATAGATAGATAGATAGAATATACATATCTCTTGCTGGTTTTGTTTCTCTAGAGAACTCTCGCTAGTACACCCAACTGCCCACTCTTGAGTGACTTCTACCAGTTACTCTGCCACAAGGCCTCATTTATTGCCTTCATGGTGCCCATCACTACTTGCAATTTCAGTTTTGCTTACCTGTTTATGTTCCACCCATAGTAATACAAGGCCCACGAGAGCAGGGGCCTGTCTTATTCAATGCCTGGCGCTTAGCAAACACTCAGGAGACGGAAAGGAGCAATGGAGGAGTCACGTAAGGAGTGTATTGTGAGAAACAATGGGGGCGTGATGCCCAGAAACATCCCAGAGCTTCTCGTGAGCCCCCCCTGTCAGTCCCCACAAGGCCCAGAGCTGCTATCGTGTGTCGCCTCGCATTACCCCGCTGGGCCCATGACACTGCTGGTGTCGTGCTACCTCAGAACCAAAGGGCTGCATTCCCCGCGCTGGGAATCACTGCCTGTCACGGCCTGGGCTCCAAAATCACGTCACACACAGCCTGAGGCCGCGGGGGGAGGGTTTCAGAGGCCGAGTCCCAGTTCGTTCGTTTCATGTCTTTACCATGTTGTGGGTCCGATGCCTCCTGCTTTCTGGAAGCCTGGCCTCCCGGAAGGTTTCTGAGCAAATTCTGGAGCTGGCGAGTCTGGAGCAGTGCCAGCAGGGGGAACGCTGGGGAGTGACTCAGGAACAGGTCTGGGGACGAGGAGGGGAAACAACGACAGAGGGAAGAGCCCACCACGACTGTTCAAAGCGACCGTCCTTGCTCTGTGGGTCGCTGCCTCGCGGGGATAAGGCTCAAGGTTTGGTTTCTGTCCACAAAAGTTTTCCTAACCAAAATGGAACAACAAACACCCTCCGGCCAGTTCTTGGCTTTCTCCTCGGTGCCATGTTAGCCAAACGGGGTAGAGGGACCTGAACCCTGACCCCCACCGTCTGAGCAGCTGCCTCCTGGGAGGAAGGAGGTGCAGCATGGCGGCCCAGGCCAGGCCAGAGCCGTGGATGTCACAAAGTCATCGTTGTGGGCGAGCGCTGCACGTCTCGTGTCCCCTGGCTGGATTCCCACCGGCGGCTGTGAAGCCTGACTCCATCATCTCCCCACGCTGAGCGGCAGCCCCTCCTCCAGGAAGCCTTCCTGAGCTCCTCAAGCTGCGTATTCTACGCTCTGAGGTCGGAGGTCCCACCCGGTGCGCCCCGGGTCCCAAGCGTGGAGCAGGCGCCACTCTGGGCGGCTCAGGGCACTGACCGTGTAGGTCTCAGCATTTCCCTCTCTCCTCCGAGGGGAGCCAGGAGCGTGGGTTCTGGAAAGCGAGGAACGGGAGGGGGGCTCAGTCGTCCTCATCCTCGTCCTCCTCCTCGGCGTCCTTGTTGGGGGTGCACCTCTGGAAGCACTGCACCACGGTGGCCAGGAAGAAGCTGGAGATGATGGCGGCGATGGACACGGCCACGCCCGAGAAGATGATGATGAACAGGTCTGTGAGCGAGAGGCTGAACCTGCACTCGCTGAAGCTGGCCTCCGACAGCTGGCGCAGGAACACCCTCCTGTTCTCGGGGGGCAGGGAGCACTGGATTTCATCGAGGCCTGGAAGGGGGCGGGCAGGACGAGAGACAGGTTTAGGCTGTAGCACGGAATTGCCTAAAAGTTGGCAAGGCGAGTGCTTGCAAAGTGCAAAGCAGAAGCAGCCCCCCAAGAACAAAAGGGGGAGAAGTTGATTGGAATGGAATTTGAGCCTTTTTAAAAGCCTCCGTGTAACTATGATGGGAGACATATTTTTAAAATATATATATATATATGCATTTTTATTGATTTCAGAGAGGAAGGGAGAGGGAGAAAGAGATAAACACATCAATGATGAGAGAATCATTGATTGGCTGCCTCCTGCACCCCCCCCACTGGGGATGGAGACCACAAGCCAGGCATGTGTCCTAACCATGACCTTCTGGTTCATAGGTCAATGCTCAACCACTGGGCAACACCGGCCTGACCATGGCATCTTCTGATTTTGAGTCACTCAGGATGGTGATGGGAAGGCAGCATAAACTTTTAGGGTTTAGGACCTCTGTAGACCCTAATCCAGACCTGGTAATACCCAGCCCCTGGAAGGGGGGATGGAGGGCGGGGCAGATGCCGTGGGATGGGGGCCGCTAGTGTGTGTTACCAAGCATAATCTGCACATCCCGACTGATACACAATATGAACTACATACAAAGTATAGACTTCAGATACAAAAAAATGCATGACATTCAAATGCATAAAGAACTCACATCTTCTGTTTCTTATGTGGAAGAAAAGAGAAAAACCAAATAGTAGTAACTCACCCTCATATTGCACTTGCAAAGTACAAACACTGTTCTAAGTGCTACATACATATGAACTTCTGATTCGCACAACCACCTTCTGAGGTAGGCACTGTTATTATGCCAACTACAGACAAGAAAACTGAAGCTCGGGGAGTGTATAGAGCTTGCTGTGTCAGCAACACAGCTTCTCAGAGATGTAAGAACACCATGTGTCATTAAGCACAACTGCCTGCAATCTCTGCTTACCTCTGGCTTCCTTTCATCCCTCGGGAAAACCTTCCATTGCTTGCTTTTTCAGAGCTTCCTGGATTCAAAAGCTGACCCTCAACCCATCTCCAGCATTACCTGAAAGTTGAGATGATTTCTTCACATCATGCTAATTAACTGGTTTCTGTCTTGCAAAGAGTGGCCCCGCTAATTGCACAGCAAACCTGCAACTACCTTTTGGGGTCTTTATTTGCATACTAGAGGCCGGTGCACAAAATTTATGCACAGGTAGGGTCCGTAGGCCTGGCCGGCGATCAGGGCTGATCTGTGGGGGTGACCGGTGGGACAACTGGGGGGCCCCCTGCTGGCACCGCCTTGGCTGGCCTGGGGCCTGCAGGCTAGGGGCAGCTCTTGCATTGAGCATCTGCCCCCTGGTGGTCAGTGCACATCATAGCAACTGGTCATTCCATTGGTCGTTCTGCAGTTTAGTCAATTTGCATATTAGGTTTTTATTATATAGGATATTTCCTTCTCCAAATCAGAAACAGAAGAGGAATGAAGAGTGGCTGAGTTTCCTCCTTTCTTCAGTCCTGGCCCATCTTTTATGTGTCAATAGCCAATTTATGATGCTCTCCTCCCCATGGGAACCATTGCCTAGCAACCAGACTCACAGTCCCTCCTCCCAGACTCAGTTCCTACCTTCTATACCCAAGGAATTAACTGGACCAGAGCTCTTCAGGTTTCTCCAGCTTCCACTTGACTACAATTTATGACTGTTTCCTTTTTTTGAAGAAGCCTAACTTTTGTTTACTTCTTTTGAGCATTTTAAATGCCTTTGGACAGAACAGGAGAGCTTTAAGATGGTGTTTTATTGGGATTTCCTTGTGGACACTTTTCTTCAATGGGAAAGTGGAAAAATCGATTGATCTGCCTCCTCTTTTCTTTTTAAGGCATATTTTTTAATTGATTTTTTAGAGAGAGAGAGAGAGAGAGAGAGAGAAGAAGAAGAAGAAGAAGAAGAAGAAGAAGAAGAAGAAGAAGAAGAAGAAGAAGAAGAAGAAGAAGAAGAAGAAGAAGAAGAAGAAGAAGAAGAAGAAGAAGAAGAAGAAGAAGAAGAAGAAGAAGAAGAAGAAGAAGAAAGAGAGAGAGAGAGAGAGAGAGAGAGAGAAACATTAATGTGAGAGAAGAACATTGATTGGTTACCTCCCGTATAAGCCCCATGCGGGGACCAAACCCACAGCCTTTTGGTATACAGGATGATGCTCCAACCAACTGAGCCACCTATCCAGGGCTTGACCCACCTCCTCTTAACATTCCCCCCACCCCCAGCCAAAGGTGTTATGAAAATAAACAATATGGACACCAATTTGCGGTATGAAGCACAGGCAGTTTCTAAAGCAGCCGTGGGCAAACTACGGCCCGCGGGCCGGATCTGGCCCATTTGAAATGAATAAAACTAAAAAAGAAAAAGACCATACCCTTTTATGTAATGATGTTTACTTTGAATTTATATTAGTTCACACAAACACTCCATCCATGCTTTTGTTCCGGCCCTCCGGTCCAGTTTAAGAACCCATTGTGGCCCTCGAGTCAAAAAGTTTGCCCACCCCTGTTCTAAAGCCAAGATAACATTTGCCAAGATAACATTCAAGCCGTAAGAGGTCATCATTACCTAGAGAAACGCTGTACAATTCCTTGTTCAATGGGCTGCATTCACGGGAAAGCAACACAACAAAACACCACCAGCTACAGAGCCCGCCCCGACTCCTCACGCCAATCCTGCCTTCCACAATGTTCTTTGTGCCTTGAGATTACTTTGGCATTTTTACAGAGTGACACCTTGAGGAAATGTCACCTCACATTTCTCTGTGGCTAGAAGAGACAGACCTGTTTAAAAACCACCGCACATGAGCCCAGCCGGGGTGGGAGACCCTGGAACACGCTCGAAGGTGCTTTCACGATTAAGATCCACCGGCTTGATGGGTTTCCACAGCTCACAAAGGGCCGGGAAATAAGAAGAGTCGGACAAAGAGTCAGCCGGGCCTGCAGAGGGGCAGAGCATCACTGCCAGGGCCTTCGAAAGACATATTCAAGGCCGACTGCAGAGTCGGGAGTTGGGGTACCCTGACTTTGGGGTTCCCTCTTCTCTCCTGCAGGATCCTACCTTAGACCAGAATTTCTCAGCCTCAGCCCTATTGACAATTGGGACTGGATAACCCTATAATGTGGGGGCGGGCCTCTGCACTGAAGGGTGCTTACCATTGTCCCTGCCCTCTGCCTGCTAGAGGCCGGGAGCATGTCCCCTCCCATTGTGACAATCAAAAATGTCTCCAGCCCAGCCGTCGTGGCTCAGTGGTTGAGCATCGACCTATGACCCAGGAGGCCACGGTTCAATTCCCGGTCAGGGCACATGCCCAGGTTGTGGGTTTGATCCCCAGTGTGGGGCATGCAGGAGGCAGCCAATCAATGATTCTCTCATCATTGATGTTTCTCTCTCTCTCTCTTTCCCTCTCCCTTCCTCTCTGAAATCAATAAAAATATATTTATATATTTTGGGGGGGGGGGACAACTCTCCAGACAGTGCCATGTGTCCCCAGGAGGGGAGTGGGAAAGGAGTCAGAATCCCCCCACCCCCCCACTCTAGGCTGAAATGCTCAGCTAAGTGGGTAACCTTCTAAGGCAGGGCTACTCTTAGTTACTAAACAGACAGTTAGTTACTAAACAGCTTTCTTTGATTGATGCATTAAACAAAATGGGTGAGGCTTCACGCTAGATACAAAAAAGGAAGAATGAAAAAAAGGAAGGAGGGAAAGGAGGAAGGAGGAAAGAAGGGAGACAGGGAAGGTAGAAAGAAGGTAGAGAAAGACAGGAGAGAGAGACTTAAGTCTAATGGGAGGGGCATCAGGACACAGGCACAAATGAGATATTTTTTTAAATATATCTATTTTTTATTTTTTGTTAATCCTCACTCATTGATTTTTAGTGCAAGAGGAAGAGAGAGGGAAAGACTGAGAGAAACATCGATGTTAGAGAAACACATTGATTGGTTGCCTTCTGCACACACCCTGACCAGGGCCCAGGCTGGGGAGGAGCCTGTAACCAAGGTATGTGCCCTTGACTGGAATTGAACCCAGGCCCTTTGGTTCTCAGGCCGATGCTCTATCCACTGAGCCAAACTGGCCAGGGCTATATTTTTATTGATCTCAGAGAGGAAGGGAGAGGGAGAGAGAGATAGAAACATCAATGAGGAGAGAGAATCATTGATCTGCTGTCCCCTACACACCCCACACTGGAGTTTGAGCCCGAAACCCAGGCATGTGCCCTGACCGGGAATTAAACCACAACCTCCTGGTTCATAGGTCGATGCTCAACCACTGAGCCATGCCGGCCAGGCCACAGATGATATTTTAAGAGAGAAAATGAAAAGTTGCACTGCGGCCTAGGGACAGCCCAGAGGAGTTGAGAAGTGAAAGCCAGGGCCTTGGGGGGAACGTGGGAAGGGGCAGAGGAAGGAGGCGTGGGGCACATGGAGGAGAGGAGGTTGCTCTCTATGACCTTCCCTCCTGATCTAGAATGTTCTCCCTCCATCTCCTCAGAGTCTCAGTTAACACTTACGTGGCATCCACGTGTGCCGGCCGCCAATCTTAGGGCCTTACACGCATTAGCCTATTTAATCTTAATGCCCATTCAATGAGGAGCCACTGTCATTGTCCCCATTTTACAGATGATCGAACTGAGCTGTCAAATGACCTGTCCAGGAAATGACAGAGCCGAGACTGACCCCGTCCACCACACCGCCCCCCTAGTCTCAGAGGTCAGCCCCACACGGTGCCTCAGAACAAGTTCCCTCCAGACCCGTGGTCGGCCAACTGCGGCTCGCAGGCCACATGCAGCTCTTTGGCCCCTTGAGTGTGGCTCTTCCACAAAATACCACATGTGGGCGCGCACGTACAGTGCGATTGAAACTTTCAGACAGAGTGTCTTTCAGAAGGAGGCCCTGGAGCGCTCCTGCATCCCTCCTGCCCAGGCCCTGACCAGGACGGACCAGACCAGGAAGCTCAGGCTGGCGGCACAGCCTCTGGATGCCCTTAGAGTGTCTTTCAGAAGGAGGCCCTGGAGTCCTCCTGCATCCCGCCTGCCCAGGCCCTGACCTGGATGGACCCGGAAGCTCAGGCTGGCGGCACAGCCTCTGGATGCCCTTGTCAGGGGAAGGGCTCCTGGCTGCTCCGAAATGGGTACGTGGATGGACAGCACCAGGGACTGAGGTTTGGATTAAGAGACTAAAATTCGCAGCCAAGAGCCCCGCTCGGGCTGCCCAATGCTTTCGTTTGTCATCGCCAGGTCTTTCACTTTAAGAATCTAATGAAAGCACTTAAATCAGGAGACGAGGCAGTGTTGTCACATGGAGACAACTGTCAGGCTTTTGTAATGAGACAGGACCCAGGCCGTGGGCCTGCTCACTCACCCGTGTCACCTGGCTGGCCCCTGCGCAAGCATCCGAGTGTGCAACCCCCCAGGGCAGCGAGCCTGTCTCCTATCTGTCGCCGAGGCAGCTGGGCAGTGAAAGGCAGGGGTAGGAGTTGAGGAAAAGACCATCCACTTGTGACTAAGATCTCCTGGGAACCTGAAACCCACCCATGTGCCCTGACCGGGAATCGAACCGGGACCTCCTGGTTCATTAGTCGATCAGCCAGGGTGGAGCTGGCTCATTTGATGCTGAGCCTGTCCCTGGTGTTTCTTCAGTGTGTGAGTTACCTGATATCCCTGAAATAAGCCCCTTTCTTGCTCACACTCACCAGAGTTGGCTGACATGACTTTTTTGTTTTGTTTTGTTGTAATATATTTTTATTGATTTCAGAGGGGAAGGGAAGGGAAGAGAGAGAGAGATAGAAACATCAATGATGCTATCCCTGAAATAAGCCCCTTTCTTGCTCACACTCGCCAGAGTTGGCTGACATGGTTTTTTTTGTTTTGTTTTATTGTAATATATTTTTATTGATTTCAGAGAGGAAGGGAGGGGGAGAGAGAGATAGAAACATCAATGATGAGAGAGAATCATTGATCAGCTGCCTCCTGCATGCCCCACACTGAGGATTGAGCCCACAATCCAGGTACATGCCCTTGACCAGATCGAACCTGGGACCCTTAGTCCACAGGCCGATGCTCTATCCACTGAGTCAAACCAGCGGGGGCGGTTGCCATTGTCTATACTCAAGAGGTCCAACCAACGGACTGGGGAAGATGGAGTTCAAGGATGGGCTGACACACCTGTCTTGTCCATCCCTGTCCCGCAGCCACAAATCATCCCGCTCTGCCAGCTGTCCTACCAAACCTCGTGCGGGGTGGCTGCAGGGCCCGAGAGAGTGGGAAGGACCAGTGCCGCTGGCCTCTTCTCCCAGGGAGAAAACTCAGGGAGCAGGTGCACTGAGGGGAGTGAGGCCCTGCCGACAGCCCACTGCTCCCTGCCTTCACGGGCACCGCTCCTTCTCTGCCAGGGCACACTCGGGAGAGACGGGCCCCTTCCTTGTGCAGGGGGCTCCGTACCTGCCTGCCACCACCCCTCCGGGCTCTGTCCCCTTCACTAATGACTTCTTCCCAGCAGCTGACACCTGAGCTGGGGAGGGTGAAGAGCTGCCATTCTCCCGAAATAGATGATGACACAGAGGAAGGCTGAGAGGAGATTAATCTTTCATCCCTTGTCAGCGCATGGGCCCTCGGCCAGGGGATCTCTCGGGGCCTTTCCCGGATCTGGCCTCCGGGAGTTGCCGCACCCAGATCAACAACAGGCTCCCCTAAGCACTTGTTGTCATTAAAC